TCTACTAATTTGCTTTCAAGAGAAGTGTCCCATTACTCTCTTTAATACGGCTCAGAACACCCTTAATATTATTTCCAATTGGTCCAGAGAACAGAAATTAGAATTCAATCCTAATAATTCTAAAATTATGATAATTAAAAGAAAGCATGTCAGCTATACAAACCAACAACTGTACTTGGATAATACCTTACTCGAAACGGTGAATGAAATTAAATATTTAGGCGTTATTCTTGATCATAAGTTTTGTTAGAAAACAAAAAACATATTATGTATTTATCCAATAAGTGGGAAAATATACTTAGAGGACTTAATTATGTCTCTTGCAATACTTTTGGTTGAACAGCTTTAGAAAAGATCAAAGAAGAATTTTACTAAGAGTTGTGCAAGGCTACAGAACAATTAGCTATGAAGCCTGTTTTGCAATTTCAGGATTTCGTCCGATTGACCTTCATGTTTTAAATGACAAAAAGTTTAAAGATACCATCAGCAAGTTTATGTTCGATACCAAGGTGTTGTTTGAAGATCTTCCTCATCCTGCCAATCGTTTGCCAATTCAAACTATCATTTATGACAATTCTGTTGATGATAATTTCCCGGTTGTGTGTTATACAGATGGCAGTAAAATTAATAATCGAGTTGGATTAGCTTATGTCATTTTCCATCATGGTTCTGAACTGGAATACAAACTCTTTAGAATTCCCAATGAATGCAGTGTTTTCCAAGCCGAATTACTGTGCATTAGTAACAACTGTTCGCTGAGTGCTAAATTTCTTATTCGCACTGATTCTCTTTCATCCTTATTTTTCTCTTAGAAATATCTTCTCATATAATAAATTAATTGTCACTTCCCATGCTCTTCTTAAAGACCTTAATAATAAAGGTGTTGATGTTATCTTTTCTCATGTACGTGGCCACACTGGCAATCTAGGAAATGAAAGGGCTGATTGGTTGGCAAAACAAGCTACACATCTTCAAGTAATTACTCCAATGATACTTCCCAATTCATTTTACAAGAACAAAAGTAGGGATGATACAATACTCAAGTGGAATGAACTATACAGGAATTCTACTACTGCCTCTTTGACTAAACTATATTTTCCTTCCATCCCCTCACACACTGAATAATAAACACTTTTTCTGGAATTTCGAAGTTACTCAATTTCTAACTGGACATGGTAAATTCAATTCATATCTGAAGAGATTTTGATTATCTAGTACAGACTTGTGTTCATGCAGTTTCAGGGCAGTGCAAAATGTCGAACATTTGTTGTTGTTCAAAGCTCAAGGAAGGACGAAAGGAACTCATTTCTACGTTAAACTCTATGAATATGACATTTCCTCCCCCTCTTCACGTATTTGTCCAACATAAAATGGCTTTCTCTTTCTTCTGTAAATTTATCTCTTGCGTGTCATCTGTGAATTTGTAAGTTTATTTTATTTTGTGTTGTGTTGTATTTTATTTATTTTATTTTATTTATTTATTTTTTTACTTACCTCTGTAAGACTTGTGTAATACTATGTGGTGAACAAGGATTTAAAATTTTCAATTAAAAAAAAATCTTAACAAGCTGTAGCAATAAATTGAGAAGCATATGGCTATTTGCCATATGCTAGAAGACTCATAATTTGTGTTTCGGCTTACAGTGTTTCACAATATCATGCCACATATCAATGTGTTATATAACCAGCTTCAGAAAATACTAACTGCTGCAGCACTCATTACAAAGCAAATAAATGTTTTCCAGTAATCATTAGAGAAAGAAAGGAAGAGAATGGACACAGTGACAAAGGAGATATCGAAATCATATGAAACTTCAAGAAAAGGAAGAGAGAAAATATTCATACAAACAGAATTGTAACAGCTAAAGATATATGTGTTGTTATTAAGAATCAAATACAAGAAAACTTTGTTTTATTTCTCACTACTCTGTTGTTTTTCTCTTTGAAACTCAAATTCTAGAAGCACGAGAAAACGTTTCCAATTCAGATTTTTGGCCAAACATCTGATGTTTATTTTATGTTACAGTAAGATTATCCAAAAACTGAACTAGAAATAATTTACGTACGATCAAATTTCAGAAATATGACTGATGCCATTCGTTACCTACAATTCATTATAGAAAACAACTTACTGTTTTCAGAGACCTACAAACTGTGGCTAATTATTGTTATTTTTCCAATGAACACTGCTGAAGCTGAGAGATGCTTCTCATGCTCTTCTTCATAACTCTTCTCATGCTCTGAACAGAAAAAAGTATGATAAATGGTAGACCTAAATTCAATGAGAACATTAGTAATTTTTTTTTTTTTAATTTTTTTTTAAGGTAAACAAAGAAGAGGGACAGACGAGCGAACTTAATATACCAAAATTGTACTTGACTGTTCTGTTTTGTAATCAATACTCAAAAATAAAGTACAATGTTCGAGATCTGGAATGACCTAAAATTGGGACCTTAAAGCTACCAATGACCCTTTTTTGTATGCTTTAGGCATGCACAGTTGATCTGCCCTGTAACAAAACATGTGAAGAATCCTGATTCTTAATTTCGCTTTAGTACTAATTCATAATTTGGCTCCATAGCTGCATATCTGCTTGGTATGCATCTAAAACTGAAACATTCTACATAGAAACATCGTTGATTTTACACTTACTAATATTTTATATCTCTGACACCAACCTGGTGAATCATTATTTATTATATTTTGCTTTCACCACAGCATGTTTAACAACACATGATAATTTGAGTAATGATTAATGCAGCAATGCCTAATTTTTTTTTTTTTTTTTTTTTTATATATATATATATATATATATATATTAGTAACTGAATAACAAAGAGTATGGGAACTTTTTATGTTTTTTTACATTATACTTTGATTTAAGTTAAATGGCAATGACTACAGATTTAAGTTAAATGTGTTAAGAAATGTTGACAAGGAAAAATTTAACAAAAATTTCTTTCCATATGTTAAAAATAAATTTTGTTAATGATACTCATAGGCAAAAAGATTACATTTAATGCTATTAAAATTAAGAATAACTGATTTGTTATTCACATAAACCCAAAACCAGCGGCAGAGCTCGTATGGCTGTACCAGGTAGCAGAACGTAGGGAAGACAGAATTTCTGGAATTTAGAGAAGCATCAAGCAACAAAATTAACAGATGGCAAAATTTTTAGAATTTAGGGAAAGAATTGGGTCCAAAATTTAGAGGCGGCAAAAATTTACAACTTACAGAGGTGCTTGGTAGCAGAATTTAAGATCCGTACAGACTGCACCAGACAGTAAGATACCTAGCACCAGCCTTCGATAAGCCTTAAGCATATGTGGGAATTTATTTATTAAGGACTTGACTAAGTCTTAAGCATGTACGAGAAATGGATGTAACTATAATAAATAACAAAACTAATACAATTCAGGCTTAACTGTCTCACAGCGTGATAGAAGCAATAGAAAATTTATTGGAACAACTTGTCTTTCATTCTCAATTTCATGATACATAGCCAATAACGTATAGCGGATGCTATTAAGCTAGATTAAAATTATACTTTACTGATTCCAAGGAACTTCAGTTAATATAGCAGATTGCTCTATTCCTTAATTTTCTGATTTGATACAGCTTATTATTTTTTGCAGGCTGTTATTATTACTGCAATTTTATAAAAATTACAGTTTAAACTTTTGATTATGTCAAAAAGAGTTTCTTTTCTGGAGCTGCAAGAGGATCTACAATGTGAAAGCATATTTCGATGCCCATTAAACAAAAAGTCAAACTGCTGCAAAAAATGGATAAAGGTATATCCGTTTCAAAATTATGCAAGGAGTATGGCATTGGAAAGTCAACTGTATATGACATAAGAAAAAACAGGGGGGGGACTTTTTTTTTTGTGTGTGTGTGTGAATTCCAACATCCCACTTGCAAATGAATAACAGAAAAATTATTCGTTATGCTAAAAGTGGCAATCATGAAAAAGAGATGATTGAATGCGTCAGACAGGGTCGCAGCAAGGGCATGCCATTGATGGGTCCAATACTAATGTCTCAAGCCAAAATATTTCATGAAAAAATTAACTTAAAAACTGAGGGCACACCTTCGATAAATTGGCTAACCAAATTTTAAAATCACCATGGTATAAGGGAATTAAAAATTTCAGGTGTAAAAGCTTCAGCTGATATTGAAGTTGCTGAACTATTTGCACATGAATTCAATGAACTCTTTAACAGTGAAAAGTTATCTCCAGAACAAATTTAGTGCCGATAAAACTGTTTTTTTCCAGCAATACACAACCATGAAATACCTTGGCAAACTCAAGGCTCCAACTGGTGTCAAAGATTCCAAAGCAAGACTAACAAATTTAACATGCGCAAATGCTGCAGGAACACACAAGTGTCAACTTTTTGTAATCAGAAAAACATGACCTAGAGCATTGTGAACCTCCATTTAAACAACCCAGGAATGCCATTGCAGTGCAATTTTCCCCTTCAAACTTCTGTTAGAATGGTGCAAGTTTGGTAGAATCTTTGCTAACTTTCATCGTCAATAGGATGATTTCATAGTTGGATGCAATGTTTTTATTTTCATATGCTTAATGTCTGCAAAAATACACTGGATTTCATGTCAAAATGGTTTTGCATTCCTGCCTCCCAACATCTTACATAATTTTAAATATAGATTTTTGAGATTAAAGTTTATAACAAATTGAATGAAAATTTCTATAATTTTAGATGGAAATTTCTTCTTCCATTTATTTTGCTTTGCTACTCGAATTGCAATTTTTATGCTCAGCTAAACAGAATTTTTTTGTATTCAGCATTCCCAAGTTTTCCGAATAGCTGAATTACTATAGTTTCAAAATTATCAACTTCAAATACTTTCTGCACAAAAAGGCAAAGTTCAAAAACTAGCTGATATTCAACAAATTGAGAATACAACATTAAAGTTTCCAAAAAATCTACAATATTATATAAAAGATATCTAAAACATATAAAATTAATTACTTGACAAGTGATCACCAGATTGATAAGGCCCTCTTTTCCCTTTCCAAGTTTTCCTGAAAGTTCAATCCAAACATTTAAAGTTTCACCTTGGAGTACAGATTCTGGTATGTCATAACATGCCCATGCTATTTTGTCATCCAGGGAGAATGCACACTTTAAAAAATAAAGGGAATAATGAAAGGATGATTTATATATAAATTTCTACATGTAATAACTTAAAAGTTTTTGACATGGAGATGTATAAAGTAGTAGTTAACTTTATACATCTCCATGTCAAAAACAATACCCAAATTAAAATGAACTGTTAAGGGAGTACTGCAAATCAAAATTAGTATTTTATCTTGCATGCATGTACACACACACATATATGTGCAACATAAAATATATACAAATCAACTTTATAACTTAATTTAATAATAGCCTCTTAATTCTTCATTTTTAATTTGAGCCTTTCCTCTCTGTATTCTAAAAGCAGTAATAACTTTTATGAGCTGCACCATTTCTAGATTAATCTTCATCACACGGCTTGCAATGACATAGCTAATTTGAAACTTGAACTCAAAATTTTCAGTATTGAAACTTTTCTAACCAAAACCTTTTCTCAGTGAGCTGCCATATTGGATTAAATTCGCACTGTTATTTTCCCCCTCGGTGGTGCTTGGATGCTATTTCACTGTGCTTTCTTTCTATCACAACAGTATCACTGTAAATTTTCTAGAAATAGGCACAATTAAAGTGCAAGTGAACTGTGGCCACAAATGTCAATTTAAATAAAAATGGAATTTAATCTGCTTTGACTGATATTTTTTCCTAAAATACTAGTATAATATCATCTTAACTTTTGCTTTATGTTTTTAAAATTCAATAGGTTTCTTTTAATGTGATTTTAGAATTTTCCTAGGATGGTTTAATTTACTCAATTTTTAATTCAAATTTTTAATATACACGCACACACACACACACACACACACACATATACACAAATGAAGTGTTAGGAATTAAATACACATAAACATCTTAACTTCTTTATATTTGTATATAATGATCCCAAATACACAGTTATTTATATAGGAATGTTCAAACATATAAGTGAAAGTTTAAAAACTAGTTACTATATTTATGAAAATAACACTTAAAAAAAATGTACTCATTTGATAAATATAATTTTATAGATATTCAAAACAAATCTATACTGAATAAAGAGACAAAATTCTTTACAGAATTTAATATTTAAAAAAATTTATGCTGATTTTTATTTCATAGTTTTTATAAATACTATTTATCATTAAACAATAGCTAAGAAAATTTGGTACTATTCTGTTTTGTGACATAAAAAAAAATTGCAGTGAAAATGTGCGCAAAAGCGCCAAATCTAGCAAAACGCGTCCATTTAAACAGCGCGTCAAATCTAGCGTATGCGCTGATTCAGATTGCCTAGTTATATAGTTCTATATTTCTTAAGACGCCTTGAAACAAAGCTACTTTTAAAATCCTTTTTCGATTTAAATCCTTTTTAGTATCCTATGAATTTAACAATTTGGGGAATTGCCAGACGAAAAGTCTGCAAAGAAATTTTGGGTAATTGCAGAATCACCCACTGCTTTGACTCGTTTTTAAGATTGCACATACTCGGTATCCATGTACATATCGCCCTATTTTCTTTAAAAAAATCCTCGAATTGCACAAAAAGCACTGCGCACACCCTTGACATTATCTATGTACAACGACCTATTTTCACCTTAAAAGTAAAAGAAAATGACCAAAAATCCAATTGTTTTTACCTTGTAAAAGCGCAACAAATAAGTGGGCGGTTCTGCACTTTATCGAGAATTTTTCAAAGAACGGCATCATTCTTATAGAATTATTTCTAGATGTTATTTACTTTATCTTCCTTTTGCATTGGTTGGCCCGCATTTTTTGGCACACTGGCCTCACAATCTTTTGGCGAATTTTTTACGCCCCTCGAACTGATAGTACCGAAAATTTTAACTGCAAAAGTGCACTACATCGATTTATTTAAATTGTGCAGCAATAATTTTTTTGCTAATGAAATGGATACTATAACTATTAGATTATTAAATTTAGGTTTTTTTAAAATTTTGATCATGCATTTCTTATCTAATGAATACACATTTATTTTTCCTTTAAAATTTTAATTGTCAGCTTAGTGGCTATTTTTAAATTAGTCAATAGTAAATATGGATACTTGAGTTCTGAAGGTTCATTTATTTAAATAACTACTGTCTGCTCACACATATCTTTGGTTTTAGTCTCTTTTGCTTATCATTATTAATAACATGATCATAATTTCAATGCTATAATTCTGAACTATATTATTTTTTAAACATTTTATATACTATAACAGTAAGACTTTCGAAAAGATTAAAGCAGCAAATTGAATATATGTTTAAAGTTTAACAACGAATCAAAAATATAAAAAGCAAAAAATTACCTCACATAGATTTTCAATATCGATACAAGTATCATTGGGTAAGAAATAGCTAGAAAAAGAGAAATTGCAAAGTTAGAAAAATAAATAATATTTTTTTTTTTAAAAATACGGTTATATTTCTAAACACAGCAATATATTCAAGGAATTAATGAATGCCTGATAATTCTTTTTATTATCTGCACATCCATCAAAATGTAAACACATTTACCATCGACTTTCGAGAACATTCACAAACTGCTGGCAATTTATTTATAACTAATCTGCTAAATTCAAAAGTCATTTTCAAAACAGCAGTATATTAAAATTTCCATAAAAGAACAATCAATCAATAAAATTTGAAAAGCAAGAAACATCACAAATAAAACACTTATCTTTTTTAAGAAATCTAATTCTTTCGATTGTTGATCTCCTTACATATACAATGACCTGTTTTTGCTTAAGAAAAATCACACCACTCTAAAAATTTGGCAGTGTTCACTGGCAACACTAAATAAAGTGATTAACTATAGTTAATAAGATACGGTTACCTCCAAACTAATTTCTGACCTACATTCTAACACTATGCTTGCTATTTTTTACATCTCATGTTCATAAAACTTAGTCATTTAAGAACATCTTCATAGATTGTGAATTTTGCATCTCCTTTTGTTTGACAAAATGCCATATTTTCTCAGAAATACAACACTTTCTGTTTCTTTAGCCAGCAAACTCATTTTCCCATTATGATCCATTATCAGAAAAACAACTATAATCAATGTAAAAAGAAACTATAACCGAGAAAATGATGGCTGAATTTCAAAAGAGCAAATCTATATAAATAGACATGCATTGCATGCACATTTGCATTGGCACATAAATACTTTCGGGCACTTTGGCAATATACCGCATTGCCTCATGAATACTATTTCACTGCTTTTCAGTGGTGTTGGGGGATGCAAATAATCAGAAAGTACCAAAAATCCTTTGACTCGCATTATTTGTTTCTCTTTAAAAGCTTCAAAGATAATTTACAATTTATTTCTTACTATATCAAATACTTTAATCTTTGTATATAATATACTTTACATATTCAGAAACAATACTTCACAAAGAAGAGAAAGGCAGATAACCTTTAGAAAATGATACAGTAGTTTTGTAGCTCACAATGACAAAAGGGGGGGGAAGAATACAGCAAAATAAATGGTTTGAAAATAAGGATTACAGCAAAGTTAACCTTTTCACACAGACTAATAATACTGCATGTAACAAAGACTACATCAAACTTACTCATTAAAAGTTTACCATTTCACTTGATAAAACGGTAGAAGTTAACATTAAATATATTAATATTTTTCTTGTGAAAAGTCATTTAAATATGGAAAATATGCTGAACTTCCTGTTTTTTAATGCCAAATACAGATTTAACAACACTGGTTACAGGTAGAAGTTGACATCATATGGTAAATAAAGTGTTATGTAAAAATTTTCAAAAAAATCTCCAACAATTACACTTAAAAATATTGTTTTTCCTTCATCAGTGTTCAAGTAAGTTTTTTTGTGATGTAAAGAACAATACTAGTCAGTTACGATTGGAAACCCTTTATGAAACCACTTTTTCTAACAGCTAGTTTAATCAGCTAAATGATATATAGGTTGTATCAATTGATTTCTGGCATCATCTCTCGGGGATGTTTTTAATATCACTTTTGATGTGTTTTGCAAGTCTACTGAAAGATTTATATGTAAGAAATGATATTGAACAGCAAAAGTACATTGAATTTTGTTGCCAAACTCACAAAACACTTTTAAAACTTCCAGCAAGATATTGTTATGGATTTTGTATTTATTTAGCTATTTTTAGTAGAATTAATTAAAATTGGTTTATATCCCCATGCAATGCAACAACTTATTTGAAAGCTATATAAGGAAGGAGCAAAATGAATAGCTGCAACAGTTAAAATACAGGAGCACACGCATTTAACATTTAATAAATTGATACCTCGTAATTGTAGTCTTTTGCTTTCCAGAAACCTCAAGATAATATAAATTACCACAATGTTCTCGTGCATGATTAAAAAGCTTTAAAAAGCTGGACAGAAACATTTCGGTTCAGTTGTTTACTTAGTTCTTGTTGATTGTAGCGAATTCACGGTGAGATCAGATTAGCTTTCTCTACATTGAATTGAATTATATTTAATGTTTTAGTACTTCAAAATATAACTACTGTGAGATATTGTGATATTGTATGAATATCTCTGAGGAAATTTCAGCATTTTGTTTTATTTTCTAGTATAAGAATAAATTTTATCAACTTTTTATCAACTTGTGCATTCAACCCATTACGAACCCGTACACACTCAACAATATTTTTGGTCTATTAGCCTACCAGTTGTTTAATCATTTAACAATAGATGAATGACAACTGAAAATACTGATAATTATGGGCATCCCAGAATAACCCCTAATCACCTTGATAGTCAGAAAAACCATGATGTGTATGGATTCTGTCAGTAACCACATAGACACTGAACCATGTAATCAGCAAACATAAATTTCATCAGAAGATATGAACAAGCAAAGGATTATTTTCAAATTTGTGCAATGAATATGCTTGCTTTGTAGTGGTTTGAGCAATTAATTATATGATAGTTATACTTCACTCATTAGATTTAGTTCCTTGCAAATCCTTTTTCTCTAAAGCTATAATAAAGCAGAAAGGCAAAATATATAGTTTAATAAATGAAGCCTAAGCAGAACCACAGTGATTTTGTTAAATGCTGTTAGAAAAAGTGGTTTCATAATAGGTTTCCAATCATAACTGACTAGTATTGTTCTTTACATCACAAAAAAACTTACTTGAACACTTATGAAGGAAAAACAATATTTTTAAATATGAATTAACATTAATATTTTAAAGAAATTATATAAATTAGACTTCTGTTTTATTGCAATATCACATTAGTAGGAATCACCAAAGTTTCAGAATATGCCAAACTCTGGCAATCACGCACATAATAATTCTTCAGGCAATCGTGCATGACAGTTCTTCAGTTTTAAAAATGGTATCACCATTCTGGGATTCATTTCTTTTCCTTTCTTTCTATCCCTCCTTTTTTGTATGTGTGTGTGTGTTTAAATTTTATAGACAAATCAAAATTATTTCTTGTTTTAAATTTGATTTAAAAATATGTGCTTATGTCATTTGCTTACAGTGGAAGAAAGTCACATAAAATTTCTGCAGGAATACAGTATTTCGCTGCTAAATTGCTAAAGGAACGATACTCTGAACCTCGTCTCAAAGCGATCGCCACACAATTTCCAGTGGAACAAAAGACTGTTTGTAAAACATTTACTGATCGCTTTTTGGAATAAATACATAGTTGGCATATAAAATATGTACATAATAACATTTATATATGTAATAAATAATTTTTTACCAAGAAAAAGTTATTGTCCCCTTCCATTAAAATTTGCCAAACTGGGGTGGTTGTGCTTATATGCAAGTAGTTAAATATAAAAAATATACATTGTTTTATAAAAAATATGTATCCAAAGAACATAATTATTTTATTCTACATTAGTTATTAATTCTTAGTTTACCAAATGACAAAACTTAAATTGCATTTTTTATACCTAATAAAGATAATTTAACACATATATTAAACTTAAACAGAGGATTTGTTTAACAACATCAGATTTCTGAAACAATATGTTTTTTTTTCCCATACGTCAATCTGAACTGAAAATCACATTTATTTCAAATGTTGTATGATCACATAACCAAATACATTTGTCTTTATTAAATATTTTTTAAATTTTCTTCTTCATTAATAATAATTTAAAAGATATTTATTACACATAAAGCTTTCTATACATATGTATATACACAGTGATTTAAAGAGTCAGCTATATGTTTTATTTCCTTTGTTCTCAATCTACACAAAATACTCAATTTCTTAAAATATGCTAGAGAATTTTTACTTAAAAAAAAAAAAAAAAAATTACTAACACAGTGTATGAAAAGTTTTCTAAAGTAAAATCTTATTCTTTGCAAGACTGCTTCAGATTAAATATTATGGTAATTAAAACGATTATGATTTAATTGGAAAAAAAAACAAAAAATTATAATCTTTATATGCAAAAGACATTTCTGCCAATAAAAAATGAGTTAATTACAAATTTAACGATGAATTTTACATTATCCAAGCTAAAAATGTAGCCAAGATAAAAAGCTTTTATTTTATAACTGCTCCATAGATTTAATTTGAGCACTACTTGGTCATTCTCGGAACTCCACATACTCTCGAGACTCTCCACGCTACAACTTGCGATGCACTCGACGGCACACGAGCACAGCTCGAGCAGTTTTTAATTTATGTAAAATTGATTTTAGCCTGTAAATTCATTCTTGAATACACAATAAATTTCATGTTAACTGTCATGTAATCATATTGATGATGCGAACATCAAGCAGAGTATCTTTTATTAAAAATTTTTGTTATTTTGCAGTGTAATACAAAACTTTAAATGTTTATGTATGAAGCATCCTTATAACAATTAAACCTTCAGTAGTTATGATACTAAGCAATTCTTTCTTCCCAAATATGTGTAACGTTTGTCTGTCATAAATTTATAATGAGAGCTGTATTCGTCTGCACCCATTGCAGTGTATAACTTGAATGCAAGCTGAGCTTGTTGATTACCATCAAAAGATTGGTTTACAAAAATATATTGCATTCATGAAGAAATGATTGTTTAAAAAACGGGGCCAATTAGATATTGAAATATATAAATAAGCAATTTTACAATATAAAGTTTTATCAATGATATTACATTAATTTTAACTTACCAATTAAAATTTTTATTCCACCTGGGATTTCTGGCACCGTTATAGTCAGTATTTGTTTCATACACTGTTTGTCCAATTCGTAGACGAACGTAGGGATCCATGCGTGTTATACCATAATTTTTATTTAATTTAGCCTAAATATTAAAAAAAAAATTACAGAAGGCTAACTAAGAGAAGTAATGAACAAAAAAAAACCTATAAACTGAGTAAGTAGTAAAAAATTTGTTACAATTTAAAAAAAAAAAAAAAAAAAAAAAAAAAAAAAAAGGTGGGGCTTTGAATACAAAAACTGTGATACTGGCATACTTATTAACAAATAGTCTGCTATGGATATAAAAATAGGAAAGCAGTAAAAAAAAAAAACTGAAAGGTTTTTAGATTTTAAATTACATCCAAAGGGGCATTTTTTTTTTTTTTAACATTTTGTGTGTTATCCTTTATTTATTAAATATCCTGTTCTTTGCACACTTAAACCATAAAAATTCAGTTCAATAGCAATGTCGCAAATAGTTTTTAAATGAGCCTAGCTTTAGAATTTCTGATACGCAGTTCCACGCGCTGGAGGTAAAAAGGTTTCCCCCCATAGAGTGTTGCCATTGCTCACTTTTAAATCATTGAGTTTGTTATTTAAAAATTCATTAGAGTTTCACAAAATATGACAATCGATAATAAAACAAATTCCAAATTTCAAATTTGGTCTTCCACATGCCCATATTCGTAGGAGGATTACGTCATTCAAAATTTGATGGCTCTCGGAAAAATGAGTGAGCAAATTAATGTTTCCACAGTTTTTAATTAATATCTCGGCTTATTAAAGTCATACGAAGATGAGAATGGTATCAATGGATCTGGAGAATTTTTTGTAATCCGAGGATACACGTTTCGAATTTCAACTCGGCGCCATTCCTTAGATATTAGAGAAAAACGAATTTGGCATATATACATTTATGCAGATTTTTCATTACTTAATTTCTTCATAATATAATGCAGGACTTGAACATTTGGTGGCAACAGATTGAAAAGTGAAACGGACATTTATGGTGATTCAACGCAAAATCGCAAAACAAAAACAATAGTCCTTCAGGGACAAAGGCCCTTTGGACTAAAAACTGATACTTTAAAAGAATATATATGCAATGTTTGACATTTTTGTCCTTTTAAACATGATTTTTGAATTTCTCATAATTTATCTAAACTGCACTGAAATTTTATATTTGATTATTGTTTTTGTCTCAGACATAATTTTTGGATTAAAATCATTTCTGCTTTTGCCAATGCTTATACTTATCACTTTTTACAAAAATACATAAAAAGGATATGTTGTCTTCTTTATATATATAAGCAGCTAAAGTGTGTGTTTAGTTTATTGTTGCCACTCGGAAAAATGAGTGCGCAAATTAATGTTTCCACAGTTTTTAATTACTATCTCGGCCGATTCAAGTCGTTCGAAGGTGAGAACAGTATCGATGGAAATTCGGACAAATTTTTTGGAATCCGAGGATACGCGTTTCAAATTTCAACTCGGCACCATTCCTTAGATATTCGAGAAAAACGAATTTGGCACGTAGCCAAATCCCTCTAATAGGGAAAACCCGAGAAAGAAAGTGGAAAATGTAGGGGAAAATTAGTCGGCTAATTAAAGTACCACGAAGACACGATTGGTCAAAATGGTGTGCCACGGACCTGCGGAATCCAACAGTGTGCTTCGCTAAGCCTGGGAGCCAGCCGTTTCGGGGGAGATGATGTTACTTCACCCCATATATGTGGCTTAATTGTCTGTTTGTCGCAGATAGTTTATTGGTTGCTTGCGTAACTGTACTAGCCAACGGGATGAAGTTGCAACGGCACAGGGTTGCTGTTTCAAATGAGACGTAGACAATTTCCTGTAAAACTTACCTTTGCTATGACCATCAATAAGTCTCAGGGCCAAACGCTTAAGCGTGTTGGCATTTTTTTACCTGAGCCTGCATTTGGACATGGTCAACTATATGTTTCCATTTCAAGAATTTGTGAAAGAACGGATGTAAAATTAAAAAATAATGGATGGTCCCCTGCAAGGCGAGCTTAAAAATGATGGAAAGATCTACACTAGAAATGTTGTGTACAAAGAGATCCTTGAGATGTGAATTAACATTTTATTATTTAAATAACCTTTATTTATTGAGCTAGCGGTGGCTCTTAAAAAATGTACCGCCAGTGTTTCCTTCATTGCAGTCTACTTTAAACAATTAAGCAAGTCGAAGGGAGAAACCCCGTGGGGCAGTAAGGAAAGGGGTGTCCTCGCCGCCTGCCCTGGGTCACTTTGAATTAGCAGACACCTTTGCACAAATAATTTTAATTACAATTTATAATATCTAGAACAACGGTCATTTCGTATGACCGCTGGGCTTCCTAGTCTTTATTATATTTATAAAAGCATTTTTCACTGTGAAATCAATGTAATACAGCAATGAATAAATTATAACTGTTAAAAAAATGTCCATCTAAGCCCATTAAAGAAATAATTGTATGTGTCATGTCCATCTAAGCCCGATAAAGAAATAAATGTATGTGTTCGTGGTCACAAACTTATGAGCACCTGAAGTGCCAATACAAGTTTATCAAATACACTATCAAAGTTTTTATGCTAACAAACTGAAGCCATGGCATTTAAAGGTCTCTTATTTCTCTCCTGTCATACATTGAAGGTCTTTCTGACTAATAACTTTTATATTGATACATCCTCAGTAAAGTTATAAAAACTCCAAACATCTATATATTCTTTACTTAATTGCTCAATCAACATTATATCTACCAGCATTAAAAACCACATTAATAAAATAACTAAAAGTCCTAGCTATACAATGCTTATGCCCCATCAGAAATTTTAAAATTTAATATGATTAATCAAAGAAAGCAAATCACAAAAGAGCTACCGTATTTACGCAATTCTAATGCACATAGTTTTTGGCCAAGTGTAATATTCAAAATTGGGTTGTGCATTAGATTCGAGTGCAAAGTTCGCCGATGAAGTCAACCAAATTTAAATCATAACAAGGGATTACTGTATTTCTCGACTACATTTACCGTTACATTTATCGTTGACACATTATTGCATAGAGGATACAAACTGCAAAGTACGTAGTCACGAAATGAAGGGCAAACAGAGAAGAATGTCATATGACGCTACTTTCAAACGTGAAGTAATTCTTTATGCTGAAAAAAATGGCAATAGAAAGGCAGGGAGAGAGTTCAACGTAGCTGAGAGCAATGTTCGCTTGTGGCGGCAAGAGAAATTGGCACTGTTTGCAACTAAAGCTAGTAAAAAGAAATTCACTGGCCCTTGCAAAGGAAGACACCCTAAAATTCAAGAAACGTTTTGGAATTGTAGTGAAAGGAGGAAGAACTGTGACACCATAAGAACCATAAAAATAAAGCAAAAGAGGAGGCTGATGTTCTTGGAATACCGAAACAAAAGAGTTTAAGGCTAGCCGTGGATGGCTGGATCGGTTTATGAATCGGATGGGCTTATCTCTAAGACGCCGTAGAACACTATGCCAAAAGCTTCCTGCAGATTTTGAGGGAAAACTACTTACATTTCAGCGGTATGTCATCACACTTCGAAAGAAAAAGAATTTTTAAATGGGGCAAATTGGCAACGCTGGCGAGACGCCAATTTGGTTTGATATGCCTCGTAACTACAACATTACGGAGGAAGGGGACTAAGGAAGTTATCATTAAAACTTCGGGATGTGAAAAACTACGCGTAACAGTGATGCTGGCAATAAGAGCAGACGGGTGCAAGCTTCCTCCCTTTCTTAATCTTCAAACGGAAAAACATGCCCTAAAACCCCTAAGAATAAAAAGCTGTTCCCAGATGATGTCCTGATTCAAAACCAAGAGAAGGGTGGATGACGGAATCATTAATGCTTGATTGGTTCCGAAATGTATGGAAACGCAGTCTCAGTGGGCTCCCCAATCCACCATCAATGCTTTGTCTTGATGCATTTCGTGGTCATCTCACCGACGACGTAAAAACGAAGATGCACAGCCTAGGTAGTGATCTTGTTATCATTCCTGGAGGGATGACGTCTGTGTTACAACCCCTGGACGTTAGTATAAATAAACTTTTTAAGGGGTACGTTCAGGCGGAGTACGAAAAATGAAAAATGGTTTTGTGAGCCAAACCGTGAATTGACCTCGACAAGAAAAATTATGCGTGCTGCACCGCACCGCACATTATTGCACACTGGGTTTCGGCTGCCTGAAAAAGCATCGAAGCACCAATGATTGTGAAATCTTTCAAGAAATGCTGCATTTCAAATTCATTGAATAGCAGTGAAGATGACGTGCTCTGGAACGCCGAGGATGACGATGATGATGAGGAGGAAAGAAGAAATGAATCTGCTTCTGACAAAGAGACTGTGATGGTTCCAGTGATGAAAACATTAGTGAATAAAGACGTTTACTATTAATCACTGATTGTACAAACTGTTGGCTAGATATAAATGTTACGATTTATTTCATGTTCATATTTTACGATAGGGTACCGTATATAACGGTAGTGGTAATTAACATGATTGTTTCACATAATAATAGCCCACTAATAGATTAATTCTATGTTCTGTTACTTTATGTACTCCATTGTTGTATAAAATATGGTATCTAAATTTAAATAAAATTATCATACCATTGATTGATAGTTCATATATAAATCCATTGTTGTATAAAATAAGATTCAATAAATTCCTCATACCATTGATGCGCATTACATTCGCCGACAAACAATTTTTTTATTATTTAAAGTTTTAAAATGGGGATGCGCATTAGATTCGATCTCGCATTAGATTCGCATAAATACGGTATTTGCCTAAATTCAATTCAAATTTTGATTTCAGGAAAAACAAACATGAAGATATTTTTCTTTTTCTTAAGTTCTTAAGAGTACTTTTAGACATACATAGTTGGGAGATACTGAAAATTTGAAATTTTTCCATCATGCACCTGTCATATTTTTTTTTGGTGCCTTTGAAAGAGAAGCCAAACATACACTGAGATACAATAATAGTACGACCTGGGTTATCGTTGTGTGTATGTATATTAAAACTATTCTATAACTAAAAATTGGTTACAATTTAAAAAAAAAAATGCCAAA